AGTCTGTTGTTTCTCATCTTAACCTCATCTCTTTCAGTCATTGTAAACTTTAATCTGCTTACTTCAAAACAGAAACCCAGGGTTTTTAGAGAAACAACAAACTATTTTTTTAGCTGTGTTGACTCCAAGAAACCCTCCCACAAAGACATCAAATAACACATAGAGGTTGAGATCTCAACACAAATGTAGCCAACACACAGTGAACAGAGGATACACACAACTTAATCATTGCTGACAGAATGTTCTCAAGAAAGGTGACTAAAGCAAGAAAAAGGGGGGAGAGAGAGAGGTGAGAGGAGAGGAGAGAGTGTTGAATTGGGGTTTGTTTTACATACGGGTCTAGAAGATCCCACCACAGCTGTGTCAGAACGATCTCTGCAGAAACAAAAGGAATAAAAACATCAGTTGTTGACATGAGTCAAAAGGCAACTTGTGACTGACTACAGGACGTACAGCTAGAATTAGTTAATAGAACACCTTGTATCGCTGCTTTAAAATGAATCAGGAAATCGACAAAAACTGTTCATGACTACAAATGATAAGCAACCATACTGCTCAATCGTGACTCAAGTAATAGTCCTATGTACACTTACACAATGAACGTCCTGCCAGCAGGTTTCACTCCACCAAGAGGAGTACGGCGAACGATCACGGACGAGTGCTTCGGGATGTGGATTTCATCATCTGTGTATTCTGCAAAACATGACATCAATTATAAGAAAACATAGAACATTGTTCGGCACAATAACAAGTTTAGTCATTCCAGTCCAAACATCAAAACAGATGAAGTAAATAAGTTATGTTCATTAGTGTCTTAACATATACTGCTAAAGCAATACATTAGATATGTTATCATATTAGAAGAGTTTAGGGCGTTTACAATGGCTTGAATAATCTCACAACTTAACTTTAAGCGGTAACATATTGCATTACAATAAGATCATAGAAATGGATACAAACCTGTTTTTTTGTATGAATTAGGAAGTTGATAGCCATAATTTTATGGGTGTTATAATTGATGTATACATTAATTTAATATATGCAATTAAGACAAATGGTAGTTAAAACTATAGATTGACAAAAAATGTGTTTGCAACTTTCTTCATCATTATTAATACTCATTTAGAAAAGAAGAATCATAGACGTTCATCGATTCAATCATTGTTTTGGTTATTTTTGTTTGGTGTGATGTAATCTAATACGTTTGTTATGATAGCCCTTAGCTGGTGTATCACAATATAGATTGTTTTATTCGAAAATACTACGGTCCTAAAATGTAAATGTTTCTTATACCGTTAATTCCAAAAAATACTAGATGACATTTTCGTGCCAAGTGTCAGCTGATCACATACCTTCTCGAGTCTGCGCATTGGTGATCTGCAGGTCGCAGTCTGTGGCCTTGAGGCGCTCTCGGCCCATAATCTGCTTTTTAAGCTCGTTGAGGGTGATATGCAGTCCATCGAAAGTGACTGTGTTGTAGTCCAGTTTGGAAGAAAACTTATAGTGAACACACGACATTTTAACAGATCTAAGCACTTAAGTCAATCAAGCACAAGAAAAAAAAACACAGGCCTGGTATGATAAAATAAAACAGCGTCAACACTGAACACAGCTAAACTGGTGACTTTAATTGATAAACCTTCTTTATATTCGCTGAAACACTGCAGACAAATAAAGTAGTAAAATGTGGGGGGGAGGGTTCAGCTCGCAAATTACGAAAGAGTCTTTGTTATTGCAAAAGAAAAATAATTGAGATGTGAGGCCAGAGAGCCATTGAGCGGCCCCGTGTGCCTGTTCAGTTCTTTAGAGTCCGATCAAACATAACAAAGTGCCACCAAATCCAAGAGCGTCCATGCAGCACAACGTGAATCTATAACAGGGTGTGAATGGGGCCAGGTCCGCCGTGAATTGTCTTTGGTGGAAAGCCCGGGCCGCCGCGCTACAGGACGCGGGTGTAGCTAACAGCGGGCCTGGGGTTTCCAGAGCATCAGTCCTTAAGTGTTTTTTGCCTTGTTGAAACAGTTCTTATTTGTCAAGTCAAGACAAATCCCACCGAGCTCCACAAAAAAAGTCCACAAAAGCTTCCGCAACGAGTCCACAAATGTTACGTTATCGACGTGAGACCTTGAAGAGAGTATTCTGAAATCGAAATCTACCGTTGAAAAGCGAAGTTAGCTAGTTAGCTAATGACAAGGCTAACATGCTACACCTCGAGAGTAGCTAACGGTACCACAACATGTAACATGCCTAACAAAAGCTAATGTTGCTATGCTAACAATGTTGCCCAAATTAGCTATCGAATAATCTAACAAATCCACCAGTTAGGCAATCATGATGCAAGGATTCCTCTTCAGTGCGCGGTTATGATCCATCACGAAAAGTTGAAAGTTGTGTATCCAGATGAATCTTCAGTTTAAATCCATAAAATCCATTTCTGTGTTCCAAACTGCTTCTACCCTCGCTGTTTCATCAAAATGGCGCAGGTCGGAACCGGATGCATAGAGGGTTATTCCAAAGAGTACACATGAAGGCAAGAGGTTGAACTTCCGTCAGAGACGAAGCTTCGATTTATGTCAAAATGGAAGCACACTTTCCTCAGTAGATGACATCACATATTTAGGTGTATGCATATTTGTCTATGGTGCCATTTATACTGGGGACGCTGGGGACATGTCCCCAACACTTTGCATTTGGATCATTTGTTTAAAATGTTCTGAAATTAGCGTGCACATATAATTGTACACTTTGAGAAATATCAAAACTATTAATAGATGAATTTATTTTGTGTTAGATTCATTTTTGGCTTTAATCAAGCATGCGAGTCCACTACTGTTTTATTAATATGTATTCATTTCATGAATCAATCTATCCATAATGTGCGTTCATCCTAAAGTCACATGAACAAAAAAAGGATGCGAGCTATCTTGTTTCCTGTTGATCTTTGACATTGCCATCTATACAACATTTCTCCGCCGTGATTGGTCAAATGTTGGAGCAACGAACGTAATTGGCCAACGAATGTTGGAGCTCGAACTGTCATTGGCCGACACATTTTGGAGTACGCACTCTCATTGGCCAATTTTCTCTACATACGTACGGAAAACTAGCTAATCAACCTTCTCAAAATGGCTTCCCACAGGTAGCGTGGCCGAGCGGTCTAAGGCGCTGGATTAAGGCTCCAGTCTCTTCGGAGGCGTGGGTTCAAATCCCACCGCTGCCAAGATTTTGTCATGAAATTGCAATAACAGACTGGCAAGCACTACCAGGATTTAAAAATATAAATTAGGTCATCCGTGTACATTGAATATGCACTGTAATAGACGACAAGTGTGAGTGCAACATTTTGTTTTATATTGAACAAGCTAGTAAAAAGGCGGACTACTGTTTAAAAACGGGTAGCATGGCAGAATGGTCCTATTTGCTGGGTCAAAGTACCTGTCTCTTCAGAGACATAAGTTCAAATCTAACCACTGCCAGGATTTGAACACAAATCAACCTTGGTTGAAAATCATTCACACTGTCTAAGGAAGTATGCCCAATTCCAGAGAATATTTACTAAATTGTGGGTTGTCTTGTACTGGTGTTCTTAGTACATGATGGTACTGTTTATGCGTGATGCAGCTGCTGCCATGGTAACCCATCACCCTGCCTGCTGTTGTAGATTTCTTTAATTTGTTTATGCTTTACCACCATCGTCTCCAACACAGCTTGCTGATGCATGTCCACATACAAGAAGGCCTGCATGTTTTTCAGTACAGAGGGATCAATTATCTTTGATAACTAGTTTTTTTTTTCTCCTATTGGCTTCTGTATTTATTTATGCAAGGGCAGACAATTTAATATTCTCCCCTTTCCCAGCTTAGATGTACCTACTGCATAAAAGCATGCATAAATCAAAGATCTCAAACCTGATAGAAATCCTATCCCTTACACTCCTGTGCGAGTTTTAGGTAGTAGCAAAACCTGTAATAGCAACACAATTGTTTACACTAATAAACATTTATATCTGGCTCTTGAGGGCTCTGAAGTGAAGTGTACTTATTGCGCCAAATCCATCAATCAAACTCAATCAGAGTTTATTTATTTAGCCCAATATCACAAATTGTACTTTTGTCTCAGGAGGATTTACAGTTTATACAGAACATGAATACGCTGGAAATTCCCTGTGTTATAAGCTTTTCAAATATTTATTGAAGAGAGGAGAGTCACTGTGTTTCTCATGGAGCGTCCAATTAAAAGTGGGACTGGTCAGAGGAATTGAAATCAAATATGATAGCAACTCAAAGATATTGTTAAAGACACGTGCGCTTGTTGAAACTTTCAGAGAACTTGACAATACATTTGGTTTAAATGTTGTCGTATCCATAAAATACAAGGCTACCAAGCAAAACAACATTGTACGAAACACGCACAGACACAGAAATTAATAAATACATACATTTAAGAGAAAATAAATGTAGAAATACATTAAAGATATATAATAATGTAGAAATACATTAAAGATATATAATAATGTGTGTTCTGTTTTATTCTCAACTTATAATTTGTTATTTATGCATTTATTTACTCCTATTTTATTTTTTTTGTCTTGTATTTTTCCACATTTATTTCGTTTTCATATTTATTTATTCTTGCATTTTTTCAGTCCTGTATTTATTCCTGTATTTATTCTGTATTCTGTATTTATGCATCTATTTATATATTTGTTACTTGTGTCATGTTCTGTACTCCATACCTGCTGCTCTTTGTGTATAAAGGTACAAATTCACTCACATTGCATCACAGCAAGACCTATATTTGGGCGTTCCACCCGTTCGTGGTTTTAAAAACACATGCAGGTGCTCGAGGTTCAACACCCAGGGGAGGGACATATTTAGTTTTCTGCTATGATGATCTGGATAAGTTGTCCACACCACTTTTTCTTACAAAGTGACGACCATGCATCAAAGCAACAACAAAACAACCTGAACCATACTTACTTCCTTCCCATGGACATTTTGTCTTAATTTATAAGCTTTATTTAATGTAAACAAAGACTTGATGACAAAACTGTAATAAGGGCAACACGTTTAGCTGACAGTAGACACAATACACTCAAACCTACAAACCGTGAGAGACAGCTGGAGAGAGATCAATGTATTTGATTACGTTTTCCCTTTTGATCTAAGGTCCACAAAAAGCAGGACAGGAACAGGACTTAGTATGTCATTCCCAGATGTATGTGTCCTGTCATTTCTATCTGATAGTTTCTTATTTCAAAAACAGCTCCTTCTCTTCGTCTCTCTCGGCATGACTGTCTGTCACATACATACGTTCATAATATTACACCCATTTATTAGCACACACACTACATAGCCTATACACTGTGGATATAGCTACTGTAATAGCATAGACAAAGAACATTTTGTAAAATGAATATAAGTTGTTGTCAACTAGTCAGACAGGACATTTTGTGGATGTCATGCTGGGCTCTGAGAACTGTGATTTCACAATTTTCTGACAGATAAGTCTATGCCAGCCTATTTTGGTCTCTAAAGCCTTTTCTGTTTCCTCAAAACAAAAGTGAGAGGACTTTCTCTTAATGTTCTCGTCCCAGGAAAATTCCTCTTGTGTTTCATCTCTGTACATCCTTCACTTCCTCTCCTCTCACACAGGAGTTGTCCTTCTATTGGAAGCACAGTTTTCAGGCAGCATCTCTGTGTTGTTGAGGGAAGCCAGAGAAGTCAAATCATCCACAGCCATGTCCATCTTATCGTCCTTGAGAGACGAGTTTAAGGAGTAGATCAAGAACTCTGAGTCCGCTATGGGTAAACCTGCCATGGATTTGGATTCAGCACAGATGGACGGCTCCCGATCTCGCATTAAGGACGCTCTGAAGGAGTGTGAGATGGAGTCCCGTGCACTCTGGGCGCTCCTGCAGCTGTATCTGCTGGAGCGTCTCTGGTAGTAACGGTTGCGGAGGTAAGACGAGCTGCGAGAAATGGGCGGCTTCTTGATGGACGGCCGGCCTTTGGTGCGCAGTTGTCGGTGTTTTTCTATGAACACGTGCACTGCAAGGACGCCCACCACCTCAGCCAGCACGAAGGACAGAGCCCCAAAATAAAAAGACCAGCCGTAGGAGTAGCTCTTCTTGTTGTCGCTCTGGCTGGGGTCCCCTGAGTTGGCTGATATGTACACAATAATGCCAATAATGTTACTGAGACCTGGAAGAGTTTAGAGAGATGGAGAGGGTCAGACAGATGGTAAATGCTGTTAATATTTGAAAGACTGTAAATATGTTAAACTTGAACTTAGTTGAAAATGCAACACAATTTGAATGTTTGTATTTTGGGTATCAAACAATGGCTAAGACTAAAACAACATTGTTTTAACATCTATTACCCCTGTAGACAAACCTGTATTTTGTATCTATTTGTGAACGTAATTTTGTGGACCTATTTTTGTGTGCATGTATTTGTAAATATGTATTTGTATATCTGTGTTTTAATGCCTCTTTATGATTGTTTGTATTTGAATGTATCATTGTGTATGTCATTTTGTATATGTTTTTTAAGTATGTATCTTTGTGTATGTATTTGTGTGTAATTGTCTGTGGATGTGCATGTGTGTATTCGTGTAACTCTCTTGGTATGTATTAGATGTGCGTGTGTTTCTGACCTGCAGAGACAAAGAGTAAACCCGCACAGAGGATGACGTTGTATCGTGACTTGTAGAACTCGCTGGCCGCTACACACACACCTCCGAGAAATAATAATCCCACACTGAGGATAGGGAAGAGGCTGGAGGCTCGAACTACTCCTGAGAAAAAGTTGAGAGAATAGGATATATTTTTACATTTGAACACCTCAGTTAATATATTTGTTAGAAGTAGTCATGTGTGCATGTGTTACCTACGTAGTAAATATTCTGTAGCATCCTGCTGATAGTCTCCATCCTCAGCAAAGTGATCAATGTCTTTGCAAACGCCCCGAAAAGACCCTGTAGAAAAAGAAATGCATTACATTCATGTGATAACTATACGTCTCTGTGTCACTCTGCTCTGTAATGTATTATAACATCACATTCAAACTGCAAAATGAACAGGAGTCACAGGGTCTCTGACATACAGTAGCACACAATTAAGACTAAATATGTTGTTTTAAAAAAAAATGAGGGTTTTCTATATAGAAACTCACATAAGATAACGTATGAATGTTATCAAATAACTTCCATAACATGACTGCACATATTTGATTTGATTATTTACACATAGTTTTTTGGTATATCCAGATTTCAAGTAAATCCTTTTCTATATCTTAACGTATAGTTTCAATTGTTTTTAGGTTGTTTTTTCTTACTTTTGATCTCTTTTAACTGTGTGTATATATGCACTATGTAAACCAAGACTGGCACTATATATTGGCAGGAACACAAACCATAAAACAGAGATAGTCAATAGTCCAACACATCATAGCACTATACCACTACTTTAACTGTGTAGGCTTTGATGTATTTTAAAGTGAACTTGAATTCATCTGCCTGCATGCTGGTTTCCTGCTCTCAGTAACCTCTGGCCCAGTGATGGCTTTTAACATTTGCACAAACTGGGGTGTATTGATAAATGTGTCCCTGTGTGCTGCAGTGATTGACCAGTATTGATGATGCGACTCTGTTGCCGTGGTAACCAAAACAAAACTCATTCAGCAGGCCACAACTCGTTCACGGTGAACATGTCAAAGAGAGAAGACACAAAGACTTTATTCAAATGATCGTCAAAACAAATTAGGCTGCATATTTTTCTCAGTCTTAGCTGAAATAGATGCTTTCTTAGCACTTATATTATCAGCTATACTGTAGTCTCTTAAATGTTGACTATTTTGAGGACAATTATCATTAAATATCCCAGAGATATCCCAGTATAAATGTCTGTCTGTAGTGCACACAATCAGTCGTCAAACTTGTCTGTCATTGTGCATTTTTCTACTGTCTCTGTCTCTCTGATATGTTGACATGTCACATCTATTGTTGTTGTCACATGTTATCCCAAAGAAATCAACACATCCTATAATTATTTATGGCACACAATAGTCTTCAGTGTCCCGTTCTGTTGTCTGTCTGCCTGCCTGCTTCTGGCTTTGTGGGACACAGAATGATGGACACACACACACATCACAGCTGAGGCATTTATGTCCTCTGCCTGCTTTAATTGTATTCCCATTAAACTATTTTGGGACTAAGAGATAGTGAGGCGGCAGCAGAGGTTGGGAGAGAGCTTTACATTTACATTTCATTCAGAAAGTTAGCAAAGCCAAGCGAGGATAAAGGATAAGAGAAAGAGGGGACCTATTAAAAAGCAATGAATAATTGAAAATGTAATTTCCATACATCATCCAAGACTTAAACTCCTCTCCCTCACCAAGATGTGAACAGCAATCTAAATCGAACCATAAATTCATCTGAGCTAAACTCTAACTCTGAAGACCTCCCATGCTTATTCGACATGAAGAGAAACAATGAAATCGCCTAAAATATGTTTTGATGTTGTTTCTTTAATGTGCTTTTTGTTCAAAAGGGTGGTTGATAAAGAATAGTTAGGGTCAGGTTTCAGATTACATACTTTGGAACGGACTTACCTTCACTATCACTGCTTTTGAAAATCTGTTGTTTTTTTGCTCTCAATATCAGCCAAATGTGTATTATTCAATGGTGTGAAACTTACTTTGAACTCTAGTTTTGACATTTCTTTAAAGGAATGCATTTTACTTGCTGACTGATAAAAGATGTACAGTGACACATTTTTATTAATAACTTGGTATACTTTAATTTATTTATTGTTTATCCTGTATTTTGCTTGTAAAACAAAAAAAAGGATCTTCACCACTGTTTGAGCTAGATGCTGAACGTCACTCAAACTCAAGAGATAGGTTCACATTTACTCAAGTAGGCTGCTGTTCTTCAGTACACTTTCATGCATTTTTACTTCATTTGAGTGTTTGCCTTTCACATGCTATTTCATATACTCCACTGCAAAAAATATATATACATTTTTACCTGAAACTGGTCACTTTACAGATAAGGATTTTACATGTAATTGACTCATCATTAAATAAAACAGTGAACAACTTCTCCAAATCCTAGTCAAAACTGAAAATAGTAATATAACATTTACATTGGCCATACTTTTGATACTAAATCACAGATATGAAGTACTTTTACTTTCATGTTGTTTAAATATCGTAGTGTATTTCTTACTAAATATCAATAAATCCACTTCAACTGATCATGTACTATGTTTTTGTATTATTATGTTGTCATCTGATATGAATTGATGTACTGACATAAAAATAATGTTGCTATGAAAATAATCCTATGAGTTTGAATATACTTGCGAATGCGTATGGTTGTATATAATCAAATTCTATTTAAATGTAAATACTGCTATATTTTGTCATGTTATTATAGTTTTCTTAATATAGTTTTCTATCTGTGTTTTAACTTTTTTTTACTTTATGCACGCACCACGACGCCAAGTCAAATTCCTCGTAGGCTACGTGTCAACCTACCTCGTAATAAACCTGTTTCTGAATCTGATTCTGATAAATGTGAACTTGTGTTGAGTTAGTTTCCTACCCTCGGTGCAGCAGGTCCTCCACAGGCCGGAGTGGGTCAGCACCTCCTCGTTCTTGCGGACCGTCTCGTTGTCGTTCAGGTTCTTGGAGCGGCACACCCCACGGGAGTACAGCCAGTAGTCCGTGCCCACCGCGATGGTCATGAGGCTGAATGCGCAGAAAGCTCCGGCTGTGGTCAGCAGCATCATCATCCCCCGGTCAAACAGCCTCATGTCGGCCCAGCCTCCTCCTCACCGAGGAGTCCTCCAGCGATAATACAGGCTTTATATCCGCTTAGAAACTTTCCCCCGGTGTTTTATCTTCGTGTAGATCCAGTTTGCCGAAGGAAACTCACTTTTGGTGCACATTTTCTTCAGCCTGAATCAACCTGCTCGTATAGTTGGTTAACTCTGCAGCTTTTTACTCTAAGCTACACGCAAAAGACTCTGTGCACTGAGTTGAGGTGTTTCCATGTGTTGTCAGAATCAGAAAAAAACAGGAAAAGTGGAAGAAGCGATAAACAACAGCAGCAGCTCCTTCTGGCACATTCTAGTTTGTTGAAGCTCTCCTCTGTGTGGCACTACATAACTGCACGATGATCCCACCCCTCCAGTGTGTGTGTGTGCGCGCGTGCGTGTGTGTGTGTGTGGTCACCGAAACCTGTCAGCGGCAAAGTAGTGACTATTAAAAGTGTAGGTTATTATTTACCTTGCTTCCATACTAATGTCAATATGAGTTGTTATAACTGTACACATGCATGCCACATTACTTGCTATAACCTATAAATACCCACCTTAGAATTTCATTAAAAAAGTCATGTCAGGTTAGTTCATTTTTAAACCCTTTTCCTTTACATTTCTGAAGATTTTCCTTTTGGCTGTTTACTCAAATGTGGTTCATATGCGTATCAGGGTCACATCAACCAAATGGGAGAGAAGCTTTTCCCCCTCAGTGAATATAGAAGTAAATGAAAATAGGAATATTTAAGGCTAAATATGAAGTGAGTGAGCATATCTAAAGAAAACAAAGCAATCAACGCCAACAGAACATTTGTATGAAAAACAAAGCTATTGAAATGCAGTTCATCAACTTCAATATTTGTGAAATATACTGTATATATTTGAAAATAGCTTATCAATCTTTGAACTACTTACATACTGTATATTCATTTTATCGTAAAATATGTTAAACACTGCTCAAAATGAAAATAGTTTACTACAAATATTTCTGAACTGACCAAAGTCTAATGGCTTTAAAGGTATTTTAATAAACATTTAATATGTCATTCTGTCCTATATGAAAAATGCAGTTTCTGTAGTAATATGCGATCTGATAACAGAGTAAAACACAAGAGCCAGAGTTACTGAAATGTTATTATGATAGTTCACTTTAATGTAGGTATCATATTTTACGCGTCTCTCACACGTAGGGTTAAGACGGCGCATGCAACACATGTATACTGTCCTGCGGTTACACAATTTCTTCAGGTTACTTTATAAAAGTTGCCCTCTTCTCCTTCTCTACTTCTTCTTCGCCTGCCTTTTGCATAGTAAACACTTTATTCTCCCCTCCGTTCCCCCTCTCCCTCTTGTCTTATTTCCCTAATTCTCCAGTTCCTTCAAATTGCACTGATAAAAACGTGAGTTGGGGACAAGAGAGGAAGAGGAGGAGAAGGGGAGATATAAAAATAGGGAAAGTAAAAGTGACAGCTGAGTGTTGGCAGGGAGGAAGAGCAGAGAGAAAGGGAGATATGAAGAATAGTATAGAAGTGTTTTAGAACATAAAAACCTTTTCTAGCCATATATCCATTCTTATTTACACATACACTGAAACACAAGTCATACAGAATAATTACATCTACTTTATATATTCATTTCACATAATCTCATTTTCTTGTCAAGGACAGCAAAACAATGTCTGCTGCTTTGTAAAGCAAACTCTTTAGCATGTCAACATTATTAGAGAAACAGCATTCTGAGAGGAAGCTCACATTTGAGCATGGGTACTTCAAAACTGACTTGCATCGATAAATTCAAGACACCAGAGGTATTCGCTTCCTCGTTGATGTCTAACATAAACTTAAGGGAACTACTGCACCAACAAATATGGCATGCATAGAGGAGCAGCACCACAAAGACTGTATAGGCCTACACAGCACTAACCCACTGCGCACACAGTGCCATCGAGAAAAGAGAGGGATTAACAGGCATCGGGAGGGTTTCTTATTTTTTGTTTTTTTGCATCGATTCGGAAGACGAGACGTGCTTAAGACTAAGTTCAGGACTAACTTAGACATGAGGTCATAAGTCAGGACTTTCAAAGACCCTCCTTCCCTCCAAATCACAGCCTGCAGATGTGTGTAATAAGTGTGTGTGTGTGTGTGTTTGTGTGTGTGTGAGCACATACATGGCATATTGATCATGGAATGTTTATGACATAACTTTTACAGATCGGAGAAGAAATCAAGTAAACAAACACACACAGTAGTTGATCGATAAGAGCATGTTCACACAGTTACACATTCACTCTATGATCTTTGTATTGACCTGCTCACCACTGAATACTACACATGCCTGAAGTTTTCCGCACACTGGCCTGTTGGACCACATGGTGACTGGTCAAACATAGTCCCAGTAAGTGTGAGCCACCAGCAGATAAAGCCAGTGTGGTGGTTTATCATTATTGTCTGGTTTAGATGCTGGTAGGTTTGACAATGTAAATGAGACTTCAGTGGGAAGAGATGCAGGATGAGTCCTTGATGGATGTAACTGAGCTGTACGGGTTGGAGTAAAGTCATGTTCTGGCTGCGTCTAACCAACAGGAAGTCATCAGACTTGAATGATGAATTCGGGGTTGGTGTAGGAGAAGCCTTGAAACTCCATCTGGTCCAGATTCATAATGAAGAGCTTGTCTGTGGGTGTCAGCTCCACCGCCATTTTAGTGAACTCCTTATCGAAGTTGCCAACATCACGGCGAGATTTCTGTCAAACGGAAAGAGAGGAAAAGAGAATGTGTTAAAAAAAAGAATTACAAGTGAATTAGCACAGCGTTAAAAAGGCAGTTTAGAAAGAAGTTTGGCAACAAGCAAAATAACAACTATCCCATAGAAGCACAAAGATGGATGGTAGAGAATGAGGCATGAGAGGTTTAATGGATTCAACACATGGAAAGACAATACTCTGCAGAGGTGGGACAAGGTCATTGATTTAAAAGTCACAAGTCTATGAAGTGTAGACTAACGTCCCAAGTCAACGTCTTAAATGTCGAGTTAAGGGTCCTAAACAATTCATTATGTGCCCTTCTGCACTGTCTTTTTAATGTCTCTTTTCATTAAAGCAGAACGTCTCTTCCTATATTTCAAAGTAAAATGATCAGGTACATCTTGGGGGTTTGACCAAATCATAGGATGCATGCATATCATCAATATTTGTAATAATTTCTTCCTTAAGAGGAGTTGTGTCATTGGTGTTAAATTGTAATTTGAGTCGCATTTATATTATTGTATTGTTGACTCTGAATACAGTCTAGTCCGCACCTCTGATCATCTGTAAATGGTGGCACCACAAAAAGTTTAGACTCAGCCAAACACACCACTGTTTCTGTACAGGACAGGGGGAGCAAGTCAACAAAAAACAAAAAACACACCTTTTAGACAAAACCCAGAGACACAGCCGAAAGAAAAAAGACCCACCGAAACATTTCAACAGCACAAATGCAGAAAAGTCCAAGACAAACTTCCAAAGCCGGAGAGAGGAAAACGTTCCGGTACAGAACAGACAAGGATCGATAAAACAGACCAGCTGCAGACCAAACCACGACCAGAGAGGATTTCACACAGGGAAGTGAAGCAGTGAGCCCCAGGCAAGACACATGAATCACACACACACACAAAGCGTTTGGTCTCCTACCTCCTCCTTCTGTCTCATCACAGGGCTTCCAGCTGATATGAGGAACGGATGGAAACTTTTCCCACCTCCCACAGGACCAAGAACTGCCCACTCATTGAGCTCATTGTTTTAATAAAGGAATTTAGAAAGCTGCATATTTTATTTTCTCTGTAATGTGTGATTGTTTTCTTTATGACATTTTATTCTAGCCCTATTATATAACTTTTATATGCAGGATTTAGCAATTCATAAATGGTGGATAAGACACTATATGTTGATTGATGAATTGGTCCAGCTTTTTTTAAGGTTTTATTACATTTATAATCCGTTTTAAAACTGCCTGTAAATAGCTTGTAAAGAGAACATTTAAAAAACCTAAAAGAGGAGCTCCACTTGATTAGAGATTAGTCTCAGGGTAAATATATTTGAACCTCAGTTTTTATTGGAAATGGTAGTTTTTAAGCTATGTCATGTAACTAGCTAAACTTAACGCGTAATGTTTTCCTCCTGTTTTAAATAACAGCTAGTTCTCTCACAGCTATATAGCTTAGCTTCCAGTTATTAAAGTGGAATTGTCGACAAGAAACCAATAATCATGTGTCCACGTTCTGGGTGCAGCGGCAGTAACAAGTCGGACACAGCAGAAGTAGTCTGGTAGGCACCAGTGAATATATTATCAGTTTCCAGTCATACAGGACAATTATACAATCCCAAACTATTTATCCATATATCCCTCTTAATAAAGAACTCCAAATATATATATATATATATATATATATATGTTTCTCTGTCATATCGCTCCTTATGTGACCATTGATTTATGGTCTGTCCACCTGGCAGAATCAAACGTCTTGTTATCAGCGAGCATCTTTCTGTATCTATGATGTCAACTTCATGCCGCCTCCCTTTTTGATACGAGCTCAAAGAACAAGATTTGACACATTTGTTACAACCCTGCATCGTTACACAGTTACAAAAAGATAATACAACCTGCCTCACAATGAAACGCACGTCTTCATTCACTTCATATATGAAAATGACTTTCCGAGAGTATTGTTTTGTTGGAGAACAGATGAGCTATAATGCATATTCTAATATTTATACATGTACTGCAAAATGGCACTAGATGGCTGCCCTTCATCACAGTAGTTGAGGACAATACGTTTCCACATCCTCATGATTCTGAACACAATGTTGGCACTTTTGGACATCCTAACAAACTACAAGCTTCACAAGACTCGTCATATGTGAAATAATCCCCTCAAAAAAAGGTTGTTTACAAGCTAAGAGATATGTCGTTAAAAACAGTGTAATGTGCCTAATGCTTTCGGTAATGACTCAGGAGAAAGGTGATGAGACTTTAGTCAAAAATCACTATTTTGACGCAGACACTCTGAATGCACGTATAAAGTATTATATCCTCTGGTTTAAAATTATCAGCAAAAATCTTAAGCTCACCACAACACCGACTGAACAGAAGTATTTGGTCCTATAGACAAAATAAATGTAACATTAGGAAACTGATTTAGCACTCAAACAATCATAGCAAAGCAGTTGGTCAGTTTTCACTTACACTGTATGAATATTACCAAATAATGTGATCATAGTACACTCATCAATATTACTGTTAGGTTGTCAATATGCAATCACAGGGAGGGCGACACAGAGAGCAGCCGGTCGGCGTTCAGGAGCGAGCAAACATTTCTACACTAAAGATAGAAATACAGCCAGTAGAGCTGAAATGAGAGCAGCAAGTGTCACATGACGTGCTAAACTAAACCACAGTCAATTGAAAACAGTGTCACCGCTCGTCTCCCACTGGCAACTTGACACGTGAATATGTGATTATGTCTCCTGATTGTTAGCGTTTGAGCACCTGTCTGCATTTCAATCCGAACATTTTGCAGAGGAATGTAAATGTTGGGATGTACGCTTGTTTGACTTCTTTCAGAGCATTAGATGAGAGGATTTCTACCACTCTTATGTCTGTACTCTAGTGTACGGGGCTGGAGCTAGGAGGCAAATTGGCTTAGCTTAGCATAAAAAGATGGTGGAAGCCAGAGGTGAAACGTATTACCATAAAAATACAGCTCAAATACATAACCTACATTTACCAATTGAATACATTTAATCTCATTTCCATACATGAGACTGCATGTAAACTCTTTGTTTGCAATCTTGCTTGTGTATTTATTAAACAAACTAGATACAAATATGTCAGTTTGGCTGATTTAGATGAACTAGTAAGACTATATATTCTTTAATGCTTTCCACCTGCTTCCAGTCTTTATGCTAGGCTAGGCTAATCACCTCCCGACTCCAGCCCATTCTTACAGACATGAGATTGATACAAATAATCTCTCCTACGTCTCAGGGGGAAAAAAGCGTATTTCCCAAAATGCTGAACTATTTCTTTCATGTTTCACCTGGATATGACATCATGGTATTTTTTTGTTTGTTTTTATTATGTGTGTTGAGGTGTGGGGGGTTGCCTTGTGCAGCCCAGTGATGTGTGGCATGGTCATTGAGTGCTGTCGGGGTACTCAGGGTTAACAAATGAGAAGCCTTGGAATTCTTCCTGGTCCAGGTTGGCTATAAGTTCCGAATCTGGGGGGGTCAGCTCAGGGGGGTGGCGCGTGAAAAAGCGATCAAAGTTCTCCGCATCACGCCCACACTGCCGTGGAGAGGAGAGAGGTGGAGATGGAGAGAGAGATGGGGAGGGTGGAGTGAGTTGGATGAGGGATGTGAAGAAAAAAAGAGACAACAACAAACAAAGAGAAAAAAGAGAAATACAACTAAAACATGGCATCAACCAATCAAATCGCTCACAGCCAAAACTGTGGATTTCAATTGGTCTGCATGTGAGCCACTGAAATCTCAGCTTCATCATTGGTGACTACACTCACAAATCTTAGCTCAGCATTTGTCCGAGTAGTGACCAATGGCAGGTGATGGTGGGGTTTGTGGGATGAGCGATCTAAACTGTTACTTACCTTGAAAGTTTGTCTAAGTCTGCTATTCCCTTCCTTACTGTGACTTATTTCTAAAGTAAGCAGTGACATTCAGGTAATATACAACAGCTGAAAAAGATGTGTGTGTACTATACTCACAGCTTTTGGTTTGAAAGGCGGCTGGACCTCCATATTCTCCAGTTTTTCCCAGTCTATATAGCGGAAGAAGGCGTGCTCCTTGATGTCTCTCTCGCCCTCTGGACCGCAGCCCAGACGCTTACCTGGGTGCTTTGTCATCAGCTGGAATCAAACCCAGACAAAAAAGGTGAGAAGGGTTGGAAAATTGTTGCGAATTCTGTGACAAATACCTTCACACTAGCATCCGTTAAATGCAGGAACCGGCATTAAATGGGAGGGGTTAATAAAGCAGGTAAACTGTAGTATTTAGTTACAAAAAATATTACTGTGTTACATTCCTATACTTGAATCATAGTCAAAATCTTCAATAAATGTATGTTAACTGCCAAAAACTACCAGCCCATAAACTTATTGTTAGATTTAAGTGTTTCCTCTATTCACGCAACCTACACTTTTACTATTGCTAGATACAGTAAGTCATCTCTGGTATAGCTGCAAAAAGACTCGAGTGATATGAATAGGCCATAAATGTTATAATACAACATTGTGCAATATTAACTTGTATAAGTTTCACTACAGTCATCCTGCAGCTACTCGTTTACTTTCTCCTTGTTTCACTCGTTTTTGTTTAATGCTACTTAGCTGTTTATCCTTGGAATGTGTAATTATTATTTGATTTTAAATTTGTATTAGTGTGTGCTTGCCACTTTACTCAATCCTTTTTTTTTTTTATCAGTATTTTGTCTTTGTGTAACAATGTAAACTCCCCTCTGTGGGACTACTAAAGGAATTCTTATTCTGATAGACCCAGACTGAGTGTTTATGTGCATTCGAGCGTGTGCCCTCACCCCCTTGCAGATAGCAACAGCTTCTTTGGACATGGATTTAGGGTAGGAGACGTGATGCTCCATGATGGACTGGAACAGCTCATCTTCATCTTCCCCGTCAAAAGGCGGCTGGATGGGCACAAATATACTTCATCATTATTCTTGTCACAATTGTTCTTAAAAAAGTAAAATAACAGCTGCAAATGGATACACACCTGTCCAGCAAGCATTTCATAGAGTAGTACTCCGAAAGCCCACCAGTCCACAGACCTTCCGTAAGGCTGATAAGCTATGATCTGTAAGACACACCAGTTGAGATGTGAGGCTTTTTCATAACTTATAAGATGCCATATACAAAAAGAGCATGTGAACACACCTCTGGAGCGATGTAGTCTGGTGTCCCGCAAAAGGTCTTTGTGGTTATTCCATCGTACATGTTCTCTTTGCACATGCCAAAGTCAGCTATCTTTATATGGCCTTCAGCGTCCAGCATAACGTTGTCCAGCTTCAGATCCCTGACACACACACACACACACACACACACACACACACACACACACACACACACACACACACACACACACACACACACACACACACACACACACACACACACACACACACACACACACACACACACACACACACACACACACACACACACACACACACACACACACACACACACACCCACACACACACACACACACACACACACACACACACACACACACACACACACACACACACACACACACACACACACACACACACACACACACACACACGTATTAGTCCCCCTGTATTCTGAAATGAGTGGTAACTGTATACAGGTTCACAGACTGACTCACCGATACACGATGCCTTTGGAGTGGAGGAAGAAAAGTCCAATGGCAATCTCTGCAGCATAGAAGCTAAAACACAGACAAATACCAGTTTCTAAACAAATTTGAGTTTCTGTTTTCATTGATTATTTAATAATAATTAAATTAATTTATATAGCTCACTCGATGAAATGTCTAAGTTCTTCAAACTAAGATCAAGGGTAAAAACAGGTCCAATAAACGACAGAACTATTTGATAATAAAAGTAAAATAGCATAAATGATATAAGAGACCAAAGTGTAAAGGGAAAGCATGTTAGAAAAACTAATATTTCGGGACATTGTGAGCGATGATATGAATAAAATATTTGACATTTATAATGTCACAATTGCATAACAACGCTTGATGTTGATAAAATGAAGTAATTTGAGGTTATGTTATTGTGAACACTTTACATTTCAGCTAAATTGAAACTAAAAGCATGAATAACGATACTTATTCTGCCCAATAAGCCTTTTAAGGACTTCCTACAGCTTCGCCATTTAAATATGAGTACAGTTAAACGCAAAGCATTACGTTTATGAACTAATACATGCAAATAGACAGCCTCTGCCTCACTGACTGAACATTCACACTCACAAATAAATGTTATAGTATTTTGTACTTTTTGTGTGTGTGTGTGTGTGTGTACTCACACAGCATGCGGCTCCTTGAATTTGCCGACCTGTTGGATCTGGTACATAAGGTCTCCTCCATTGATATACTCCATGACAAAATACAATCGGTCCTGAATAACAAAGAGGAGGAGAATAAATACTCCAAGTTTCTGCATGTGCTCATCTTAGTGAATTCAAGATGTTGTGTATCTTTACCATCGTCTGGAAACAGGAGTGCAGCTGAGTGAGGAAAGGAGGTTTTCCAGCCAGAGCGAGGACTCTCTTTTCCACCATGGTGCACTCCACATCGTCGTCCTGGATCACCACGTCCTTCTTCAGGATTTTGACAGCGTACAACTCATCTGTGCCCTTCCTCTCAGCCAGCATCACCTGTACAGAGTCATCGAAATAAAAGGTAATACATTAGCTTCATAGTAATGGCAGCATACATAAGAAATCGGATTGTATGTTCCTTTTATAACATTGACTAATAAATCATCTACATTTTCTTCAAAACTACACTAAGGTAGAAGATAGAAAATACTTTCTCTCACTCACTCAAATAGAGGCAAGTGCTCCAATTTACTGGACAAATAATATCGGACTGAAAATGTACTTTTAATAATATATACTTTAATATTTTACTTTCCCAGAAGAAAACAGATGCAATAAATCCACAACACGATGTGCGTGTGGCTGTATTTTAACTCTGTGCCTCTGTGTGTACAATGTAAAAATATTATGCAGCACATCAATGTCAACATTAACGGGGAAAAAATGGATATGTGAGACTAAATTGTCAGTCACAGTCCACCAGCTGTCAACTGGCCTATTTTAAATGCTAGCTGGTCGATTGGTACATTAAAACACCACTAATGTGCATCACCTTGCCAAAGCTGCCCTTGCCCAAAACCATGATGAAGTTGAAGTCTGAGAGCTTGACTCGGTCCTGGTTGCCATTGCTGTCGTACTTGCACACCGAGGAGGAGGAAGAAGAGTCTGTGGACTTCCCTGGACCCACCCTCGCCCTCTGAAGAGAAGCAATAACAGGAGAAGAACAAGATTATAAGGGAAGAGTAAAAAGGCCTTATTAATAAAACAAGGACAGCACAACTAAAAACCTTTTGTCATTTTGTGCGACTCACCTCAAACTTTTGTCGTAGCTCCTCGTTACCGTCTTCTCCGTCTGGCTGGACGGGAACATTAAAATACTCTCCTTCCTCCTGGGACAGCATCTTGAACCTAAACCCCGGAATAAAAACATTAAAACCAGGATTATCACCAGACTATGACAATAAGTCCCTTAAATATGAAGACCCCTGTTCCCCTGCCTTTGTTATTTTTATAACTCCACCTGTGTAATTTCCCCAATTATCCACCATCTCTTACCATCCATCTACCCCTTGTTTCTGTAGCTCTGAGATCCCGAAGGACAGGGATCCCATGAAGTCGTTCCTGCTGGTCAGGTCCCAGTCCCAGATCTCCACTGACAGACGGCGGTCTTTGTCGCTGTCTTTTAGTTTGCTTAGAAATTAGAGAAAAAAGGGAGGACAGTAAGATGAATGGCGCTCTACAAATAGGTAAAGATGAAAAACCGAGATCAGAATTTGCCTTCAAAGCCACAGTCCTCACATCTCTCTCTGTTTAAACTGGTGAACACCACAGCGTGTGTTTTAATGCCTGTGCCTTTCGTAGCAGTCACACAGCAACCCAGAATAGCTTGAATAACAACAAGCAAGAACAGGAAGAAGAATGGGGACAGGGTCACTTGCTTGAGTTCCAGTTAGCTTTGTGCTTTGGTGACTGCAAATGGGGCCAAGAGAGTATGCCAATAACGGCAAAAATAAGTTTGTTGAAGCCTCAAAAATCTGCCAAATGTTGGTACAGAATAGGTTTGAGCGTTTGGGTTTAAGTTGATATAATGGGGCAATATTTGTTGTTTTAATTTGGAAATGTAATGGTCTGCATCTGACAAATGAGTGAGGGCAGCTAAAAGAGACAGAGGTAAGACACAGTTTACAAACTGCATATTTTAACATCTCACTCTGTGAATTATGGGTGTATTTTGACCAAATATTACGTTGGTTATTGTGGCAACAGTGGGAAGATAAGCTAGACGGTTTTAGTGAGTTTAATTTAGTTTTACTTTAATGTAATGTGATTGACAATGGATTAAGTAATAAGTAGCCAATTAAATAAGTCTTAACTAAGTGACAGTTTATAGTTGTATTTTCTGTTAAATAATAAAAGTATGTCTAAGAAAAAATCCCTTTCTTGACACACGGTGGCCGGTTGTTATTTTTAACTTATCGACCAACTCGGTGCAGAATTACTCACAAAGTGAAGGTCTCATTCCAGGTGGGGTTGAGGCAACATTTGATGGTCTTGGTCTTCTGCTTGCTCTCACTCTTGGGATCTGGGATCAGCTTGAGTTTGACATAGGGGTCTGACAGGCCGTTGGGGTCCATGGGCACCAGGTTCCTCGCCTCTCTGACTGTGAGGGGTTGGGGAGGAGGACATGGTTACAAAACAAGTTTTAGAAGGAGAAAAAAACATACCATGAATAGACACTTTTAGACGTTTGGAAATTGTCCTTGGCAGAGGACAGCGGGATGTGAAGCTCTAAGTGTGGCTGTGAGTCCTGCCCTAAATAACTCTTGCTACATTTCACAACACTTACCAACAGTTTAGTTTGTGTTCCATAATCAATGTACAGCCGTCTGAGAGAGGGAGCGCTAGCACAGGGATGCGTGTCCCAGTGGCGATGTGGGGCAATCGTTGGATCATTGATCAACTAATGGACTTTCACGTTTTAGTCTTGGGCTGATTGAGAGCTTTGAGAGGCGCTCAATGTGTGCATTTGTGTGTATGTGTGTGTGAGAATTAAGAGACCAGAGTGCACTCACTGGTGACGGTGAGAGTTTCGTCAGCGATCTGGGCAGTGATCTGAAGGCGTCCTCTCCTCTCCGTGTGATCTGTCCCACACAGGCTCGGGACGTTGGCCACACACCGCTTGTGGATGTTCATCAAACAGTCTGAACACAGACACACAAAAATGCACAACTTAATTATATTCATGGAGCCCAAAACCACAAAGTAAACAGAGTCGAGTCGATTTTGAAAAGCCATTATCACCATGCTGCTGGTATTGCTAAATTATAGACTTTTAAGTAATTCAGTGTTGTTTGGTAACTCACAGGAGAGAGATTGAAATATATTATTGGGCAATAACAAAGTAACAAACACAGAGTCATCTGAAATATAAGCCCCAAACTGGATCCTACACTTCCACTAATGCAAGTCAACAGCATCTTTAATTAGACCCTCCCTGCTCTCTAAACCCAGATTAGATTGTTTTAGATTCATTGAGTACAGCAAGACATGTAAATATAACTAATAATAGTGCATCTCTTCAGTTTAATTACAGATAAGAAATAGCCAAACACAATTGTGTAACTTCTCCATCTGTCCACCAGATGTCAGACTGCTCTGATGTACAAAGCTCCACTTTTCACACTCCTTAAATGAGGTGGAGGATGGAGATTGAGTAGGTAATCTCATATTTTTCTGTCCATGATAACACATTTTATGATTACTCTATTTCTTCTGATATATCTGTATCTTTGACAT